TGTTTTGTTTTGTTTTGTTTTGTTTTGTTTTGTTTTGTTTTGTTTTGTTTATGTGAAATAAGAATGGCAAAAGACCTACATCTGAAGATTATTGTGTAGTTCCACTGAAATGATCCGTTAAAAACCTTACTATACTCAATGCCTAGCATACAGTAAAAACTCAAGAAATCTTACCCATTGTTATTACAACTAACATGTCTCCCATCGCTTCTCGGCCTTTTGGCTAAGATCAAGTGTACAACTAACATGTCTCTTACCATTGTTTGCCATGTACATGAAAGAAATAAAAACAACTTAACCATACAGGGACTCAAAATCTATCTCACTTGCTGATACATTCAGCTCCATGAAATCTCAGAGGCAAAACTATCCAGGAGTCCTTGTTTCTCATCCCAAAAGTAAAAAAGAAAAAAAAAAAAAAATCTGTGGCCAGGAATGGAAACAGGGTTATAATAAAGACCAGGCACTGCACCGGTTTCCAAACTTTCTACGGTCAAGAGAGCAAACAGTTCAACCCCAATGTCGTTCTCAGCACTACAGTGAAAGGTCAAAAGACAGGAAGTGAGAATCCAAACTTAGTCCCTGATCAGACAAGAGATGAGATTTTTACTTTTCCTTTGTTTCCACAAAAAGTCATATTCATTTCATCTCTTTACCCCATGTAAAACCCAGCAGGAAAAAGGCTGGGGAAAAATAAGGATGCTTGTTAATCTGAGGTCAAACCAAAAGAAAAAGAGATGCCCTCATGCTGCTAAGAAAAGATTGCATGTAGGAGAGAGGAGGTACTTAATAAAGCGATTTCAATTAAAAATATAATCTGAAGGAACAGACACATGCACGCTTACCTACAATTTCTTTAAAAAGATATAAAGGAATTAATCATTAAACTAGTTACACTGGTGAGGCTCAATTTCATTTTTAAAGAAAAATAAAACAGGATGCCACCTTTATTTTACTTTCTTCCATCAACTCTACATACAACCACTCAAGTGTCAATATCTTACCAGCCTGATAAGACTTTTAACTGCTGATTTAATAGAATGATGTAAGTTATGCTTCCAGAATAATGTATAGAAACGATTATGCCCCCTTAACAGCACTTGGATCTTCAATCAGGAAATTCAATTTTAGCTGCAAAACTATGTTTTGGCAAAAGTGCAATTGAACTCAGTGTACTTGTCACATTTCTAAATATACTCCGGTCACCATGACAACAAGGGAGACTGATGGATCGCTTAAAAGAGTACGGTATATTTAATTGTCAGCATTTTAAACTGACTCAGAAAAATGCTGTGTGATAGGGTCTACTCACCATGGTTACTGCCGGCTGAGTCCATAATAATAAAAGGCTCACATACGCACATCGACAGCGTGCGCGCAAAGAACGTAAAAGTCATTAGGCCCTGTATTTCCAACCACGCTACGCACCAAACTTAAGGCTTTCGCAAGGACTTGTTCTTATTAAGGTACCACTCAAGAACCCCACTCCCAGATTGTCAGCATCTGCGTCTGTACCCCAGGCCGCGATAGCAAATCCCAACACGAATTTCAAAGCCTGCTCCCTCTCTTCATCTAAAGATAAAAATGAACGTAAGGCTATTTTCTCCTGGAATGGGGGATGAGATACTCTTTCTCTCTCCTTCCATGTGGACTTGTTCCCCATTGACAATCTTCTGGGATCCATACATATCCCAAATAACCATTTCCGGAGCACCACTCCTATGCCTGTGCGGGTCAATCTTCTACAGGCTAGAAACAGAATGGCAACAAATAGATACCTTTCCCCCATTTGGGGAGCTGACACCCTAAGAAAGGAGGAAGACAAAGATACAAATAACCCATGAAAGAGAAAGAAATAGTCCAAATGAACTGATCCATTAGAGTGCACTACATACAGAGCCTAGCATATAGTAAGCACTCAGCAAATCACCCTCCTCATTATTACACCAAAGATATTTCTCACCAAAAGAGTTTGCAATATACAAAAGGTAAACACAGGCATAGTGACCACGCTTTCAGAGAACCATAAGTGTTGTAGAGAACTTAAAACAAGATAATAGGAAAAAGCAATGGGGAGGGGACAGGTGTGCTACTTTAGCTGTAGGTTAAGGAAGATCTCTTCAGGGAGATGACATCTGTACTGAGCCTAGAATGAAGACTCCAAGTCAGCCATATGCAGAATCAGAAGAAGGTCAAGTGAGAACAAACTAGGCTTATACACGGGATAGAAGGGAGGTCAGTGTGTCTTTAGCTTACTGAGTAAAGTGATGATGGAGTGACAGGTAAGGGAAGCCCAACTCACATTGCCTTGCAGGCCACTAAAAGGTCTTCTGAATGTTTCTAGATACCATGGAAGTCACTCTGTGGCAGGGGGTGAGATATGATCCAATTAACAATTTCATAAGATCTCTTTACATGGTAGGGAGAAGGGCAACAAAGGGAAATCATAAAAGTATCATGACCATTTCAGAAAGTCTATTGTCATAGTCCAAATAATGGGTGGTGACTT